AATGCAACCTGGGGGAGTTAGGTTAGATAAAATTAGCTTAAAATAGGATAGGATAAGTTAAGTGGATTAATCTTAAGGTGCAATAAACTGGTGGCGTTAATCTTCAAGGTTAGTTAGTCTGAGCCTGATGATGTTTGTATTCGCGTCTGCTTGTGAACACACTTTTTATTTGTATTTTATGATCACATTTAATATTTATTTACACACAAGGTAGAGCCAGCCATTGTTCAAATAATTCACCATAAGTTATTTGTTACATTTTCCCGTGTTTTTTTTTTTTTAGGTTGTGTCATTGTAAATTTTATACCATTTTGTACATATTCTTGATATTTTAACATTGATGAGGCGGTTTGATGCTTGGTGGTCTTAACGGGAGTGTCTGATTCAAGGTTTAGTCTTCCTCTACTGTAGACCAAGGCTCATGATTATAGCCTTTGCTGTAGATGCTATTTTGAAGATGTTTGCATTTTAGTATTAGTCATTCAGGTTAATGCAGTCATATATCAGCATTTATGAGAAAATTTTTGCTTACGAACATTTGGAAATCAGCCACGATACTCTTAATATTATAGTAATAACGTTATCTCTCTCTCTCTCTCTCTCTCTCTCTCTCTCTCTCTCTCTCTCTCTCTCAGGACCACACAGGTCTTGGCCACAGGAAACTCAAGTGACACTCCTTAATTCCACGAATCTCTAACTATTTCCTGCAACCTTGTTAATATCACCCCCCTTCCCGACACACACACGTTCAGACATGTACCAATATTTGCCCACACAAAGACAGATGTGCAGTACGTACATGCACAGACGGACATATAGAGATATACACATAGACGGACACACAGACATTTGCACAGACGAACACAGACATACACGCACAAACACACATATACGCACAGAATTTAGACACGCACAGATGGACACACGCACAGACAGATACGCGCAGACGGACAGACACAAACACATACGAATTGATAAATGATGTGAAGAGGTATATAAATAGACAAACAAATACCGTACAAGATAAATGTTAATCAAGGTTTCGCTGACCTACAAACACAAGGAGCTGTGAGTAATGATCCCCTTAAGAGTGTGGTTTTGTTGTACAATTTGTTGACCGAAAAATTGTACTCACATTTAAGTCTTAACATTGAAGTGATGCTACGTCTTTACACACACACACAACACACACACAGTATATATTTGAACAAACATTATGGATGACAGCTATAGTAAAGGTTAAAGTACGGGGAAAAATCATTCTACAACACAGAATGGAAGAATATTTGGCGGGAATTTTTTTTCTGGGGGCCAGCAAGGTTGAGCAACGGTGACGTAATTTTGGCGGGAAAACTTCGACTCGGAGAAAAATGTCTGGAATTTGTTAATACCGTTGAAAATTTCCGGCTGTTTCACAAAGACTTAGGAATTAAGCATTATTTTTTTCCTCTTGGAATTTTCTTATAGTATATAGTGGGAATATTTGAATTGAAACCTTGATTTTTTCTTCTATTCGCCGGTAACAATTGTGTAACAATGAAAAAATACAAACACGTAGGTAAACAATTTTGTATTATAAAGAAAATGTTTCAAAGAAAATCTTGTAAATTGGGAGAAGATACATTCAAATGAACATCAGCGCGACCAGGTTAACTCGCTGAGAATTGGCGGGAAATTATCAAGGCTACTCACTGGGTTCACTTGCACACATCCTTGAACTATTCTCTCTCTCTTTCTCTCTCTCTCTCTCTCTCTCTCTCTCTCTCTCTCTGATTATTATCTCTATGTCCTGTTGTGTTTTTCTCTCCCTTTCTCTATTGATACAAAGTTCTGCTTATATATCTGTGTGTGTATGTCACTCGGTTTGTCTTCCAAGAATCCTAGTTAAGACAGAGTAAACCTCATCACTACCGTCCAGTTAACACTCACAAGATGACGTCACCTTTCTTCCTGTAACCCACACAAATGTTAATTATCTGAACCACTGTGACACCACCACTGAACTATTTCCTCTCGTGAAGTTTTGTGGATATTTTATGCGTTTTAAGGACACACACACACGCTTACACAGTAAGCAGTGTACGCGTATTCTTCATCTCTAATAAGAAAAATCTAGTTTGAGAGCATCATTCCTAACCTATATAAATACTTGTAAATTGATATAACCGAGTCCATAAAATCCCTTTTCATTGGCATGAGTACACAATTTGTACCCAGTACTCAATGTGCACCTAATACTCAGTGTGTACTCAGTACTTAATATGTACTCAATATGAAATGATGGTGTATAAAACATTAACTTACTGATTATCTATAGCACTATTTCTTGAGTGGCATCTTATAACCACATAACACTTACAACTAACATAATAAGCTGTACACAAACTGAGGTGTTACTGTTGTAAAGGAATATCTTGTACCATGTAATAGCGAACCTTTATTACTAAAAGCACATTGTGTCCTAAGTAAAGATCGTCTGTGTAGTTAAAATTGTTAATAGTGAACCTTTCTTCTCCTTATTATTTATTATAATTATTATTATTATTATTATTATTTCACACGCTCGAGAAGCACCACATCCTCTCAACAAATATATAAGAAACCAAACGTCAAGATAAACAAAACACATCATATATTACATGAACTGAGATTACACATATCAGGCAATTCAGATGTTGCACTTGTTGAATAAATTTGTCACGTCAGGGGTAGTTGATTGTTTACCCCTACATCTTTGGTTGTGCCTTTGTATCTGTCAGTAGTGCGAACATGTGTGTGCGTGTGTCTGTAAGCCAGAATGTATGTGTGTATGGCTGATAGAGGTGTAGATCTTCGTGTTTTCTTTTAAAATATGTGTATATGTGCTATGTGTGTGTGTTCCCCCTCCCTGGACACATGAAATAATACATCAACGGCTACAACAACAATAACCGCATTGATGAACCAAACAAAAGTAAATCTATCCTAGACGTTGGCAGTAACTCATATTGCCAATGCCAAACTTTTTTCTTTTACTTTTCGTCATGTTCATTAGTGCGTATTAAAAATCGTTTTATAGTATTTATAACGAGTAAGGTATGACTGGAAGATTTGTTAATGTACAGGAGTTATACGGAGAGCTATAAAACTAAAACTTTCTCTTCTTGGCAACTCAAACAGCTGGATGCACTTGCTACACTACAACTGTCAATTCGAATTTCAGTTCCAGGTGCATGAACTGTGTACAACAGCTGTTGTACTCTTGTCTTCACCTAGTTTACTGATGGCAATACAGATTTTATCCTCCTAAGTTTGGGATTGGTTAGGTGATTATTTTTAGGTGTCTACTCGCTTAGTTACAACTTACTTATGTTCCCTATGAATATTTTGGACCAAGGCGTCGGTGCAGATCTTGTCATTGTAAGTATACATAATCGGTACTACAGCGAGTGTGGGAGTGGCACTGTTATGTGTATTCAGAACTTTGCTGTTATGCTTGATATCTTGACCTGCCCACTGTTTATCTAGTCGCCTTTCGAAAATTCACACGTTTAGAGACGTGGTCACCTGGTCTCTTCAATTTCTATTATAAAGAGATAAATTATTTTGCCTTCCACTCAGTCTATGGATTATCTGAACAATTTCGTGTCGAAAATAACGTTTTAAGTTTATTTTCTGTTAGAGAAATCGTAATACGTTTACTTACAAAGAGTAAGCTGGAGTAGAAATATTAATTACTTTCGGGTCAGCCATAAAACAGATTCGCAACTTTTCAGTTATATTGATGGCGACCAGGATTAGGTCAAACTAAAAAATAGCCTTTGCGTTTACAGTAATTACTGCGATCTTCACTTCAGCTACCAAATACCCCATAATTAATCATCTTGATTTCGACACATACTCAGATCTCACTGCGGTACTATAATATTACAAGGTACATTTAGAACATCGTGATCATAGAGCCTACGATGTTTTAGTTAGTAAAGTTAATTTATAGAATTCAAGAAAAGTATTTAAAAAGCACACACACACACACACACACACACATAGTCTGTACTCACCCCTGAAGATGTGAATTACACGAAAGCGCTTGGGAACTTCGTGTTTTCTTCTTTCCTTGTGGTTATCAGCATATACCTAGATCAAGCGCACCTACAGTGATTTACTTGCATATATATATATATATATATATATATATATATATATATATATATATATATATATATATATATATATATATATATATACTTGCATTTATTTTACTGTAGCCTCTCAGACGGAAAATCGCCCGCGAAATTAGCAGCAATTATGTGAATGTAGTAGCAGTTGTAGTACTGGTTGTAGTAGTAGTAGTAGTAGTAGTAGAGTGTTGCCGGTGAAAGTATAATAATATTAATCATATAATTTTGTGCTCTAGCATCTATTATAAACATTGAAGAAATTGATTTACATCGTAAAATCTACTAAAATATCTTTGTATATTTCGAGCATGAAACAGGGTAAGTGAGGATTAAGTGAATATAGAGGAGTAAATGGTGATATCTGTGGCTTATGGATTCACCACCAGAGGCGGCCCGGCCCGTCAAGTCTGCCTGGCCGCATCACATTGAAATTTTGGCGCCAATTTTCAAATGGTCCTGTATGTCCATAAGCCTTTACCGTGGTAATACTTTTACATTTCTAAAATCTTTCAAATTGATTTTTAATGTTTAGTGTAATTATTAGTAATGATCTTGATGAAACACCTATGCCTCCTATGACGCTGTGGGCGGAGCATTGGCATCAGGCTGGATGCTCATTGGTTGTCACTCGTGCATTTTATCCCTCCCATAGAGGCAATAATGTAAGAATACAGAACGCGGGGAAATCATATAATAAAGGTCGATTATCAAATAATTATTACATAATATTTCAGTAAGGCGAATGACTTGATTACATTCTACACTTATTGCCAGATATAAATACAAAATTAACAAGTTGGGCACCGAGCAGTCGACCACAAACCCCTAACAACTGCCAAGAGTCGGTTAGTTTATGTCCAGAGGCTCGCTCAGGTGAAGGCGGCGGGATATTGAAGCTAAATCCCCCGCGACCGTTGGGGAGTCACAGTCTCCCGCGCCTTTTGAAGGTTTGAAGTTAAATGTCCGCCGAGGATGTTATTGGGGCGCGCGTGTGAGACTCCGTCGTAGTAGTTTGATACTCATCGCGCGGTGCGGACGTGGGCTAGTGCTGGTGACACACTCCGAGCCATTACACCCTTACACGATGATATCTTATTCGCTCGATACGCCATACTCGCCCACGAAAGCGGCGGACATCAGAATGTTCTTCAAGAAGCCCTCAGCTAGGAGGGCGTTGTCTGAACTTGGCATCAACGACACGAAAGCAAACCTGAAGATGGCAGACACCCTTTTCACCATCACCGCCGAGCAGTTCATAAAGAAATGGAACTTTGATCCCATACGTTGCCGCCCCCTGCCCTCAGGACGCTACCAGTGGACGCCAGCAAAATCCGCCGCCAGAAAAAATCGCCTGAATCAAGAAGACCTCACGCGGGAAACATCACCCAGCGAGGATGTACTCGATGACCCACTAACATCAGACCCTGAAGATGTGGGGGAGGTCAGCAAACGCCTTGGTTACCTGATCGAGGATCACCACTACCTGGGGGAGAACGTGGAGGAGGGGAGAAGATGTTGTGAGGAGGAGGCGTGTGAGCTGTACACCACGGCCCTGCCCACCCTCCACCACCACCTGCCACACTCCCCACGCAACACTCACAAGTCTTCACACTCGCACACGCCTAGGACTAAACAGTGTAAAATCACTGGTAAGTACCACCATCTTTTGTACCTGGGCATACGGTTAAGGGAAATTAGGTTAAATTAACTCGGGTTATAGGCCTCCGGGAGTATGGTCAGTTTTTTATGACGCAAAACTAACGTAATTATTGGGGTTCTTTCTGAAGGTAGTGAACTGTTATGTGGTAGTGAAGTGTTGTCTTTACCGTCTCCACTTCATGTTGTAAATGTTATATGATAAGCTAAACTTAAATGTGTTACGTAAGTACTATTTTGTTTTACGGGTCAGGTCACGTGTTCAGGGCAGGCGCGATACTTATTAAAGCCTGTTTATGTGTTAGTCGTAAGATGTGTATAGTGTATGGGCTTAAAATCAACGTCATGTTAACTTTGAACCTCAGAACTGAAACTGGACCCTTGGAGTGTAGAAAAACTCACGTGTGGAGCAGTGATTAAGTGTGGATAGTTCTTATTTAAGGGTTCAGTTAGCATTGCACTGATTTTTACGTCCTTAGACTGTAAACGATGGATTACCCCAAGATTCGCCTCTCCCAACTTATTTCACATGATTAACCACTAATGCAACGAGGTTAGGTTAGCATTAGGGTGGTTAATCTTCACGTGAAATAAGCTGGGAGGGGACGAATCTTATGGTGATACACGTTTTATATCGAACCAAATCTGACAAATCTGAACCCATCAACCACCCTTAACTCTGATTTATATATCGAAAGCCAATATTTCAACCTTTACAAAATCCATTACTGACTAAATTAGAGATTTAAGCTGGGAATATGGTTTAAGGATCTCGACCGAACTTGGTATTTCTGGGCCTCTCAACCTAACCCCAGTCTGAACAGGTCCCCCCTCTTGATGGTTAGGTTGTGATGATTTTGTTGAATATCTGCGTACTATATCTTGGTCAATCTATCTATCGAACTATCATTCTGTCTGTCTATCAATCTATATCATTCTGTCTATCAATCTATCTGTATTTACATAGTTTTATATATTTAGTATAGTGTATATATCTAATTTATATATCTAACCATCTAAAATTATTGTCATTATAATTCCTTGATAGAACTTCAATCACATTAGGTTGCATAGGCTTAAGCAGTTCCTATTATTATTTTATAAATGGGTGTTGTACATTCGTGAAGTATTGATGAAACTACGTGAGATCTTGGGATTCATAAAATATTGATAGAAACTTTTCAAGTGTTGATAGAAATGCATGAATTATTGTCTTAGGTATGACTACTTTTTTGGCTGTCTTATCCACCTGTCTACAGCTGTCAGTTTGAAGGTCTGTTCATGATTTTCTTGCGGTAATTACGGAATCATGTTATTTCTCATGTAAAAGCAATTACCTGAAATGTCTTGCTTGATACATAACATTTTACAATGGTATGTCTGATATGTCTTAGACGCGAATATAATACTTGAAATAATTATTAGGCGATGTTGTTTGGGAATCAGTATCGTAATATGTATTTTTTTATTAAATATATGTATACAGGTATTACTCTCAAGTTCCATCGCAGAAGATAGGAAAACATTGTATATTTCACACTGCTAAAGAGGACCGTAAGTTAGTCGAAATATACAGTGCTCTTGTTTCGTATTTTCTACAGTGTGATTTTAGGGTCATGATTTATATGGTATTATTTTCTTCAGATTTGTGTTACTGTTGTGTTTAAGTACAATTGCTATATGATGTTTTGATTGTGTAGGTTGTGTGATAGTGGATGTTGATTGTGATGTATTGATGGAACTGGTGGTGTGTATGTGATGTTTAAGGGGTAGGAACAAGGAAGTACTGTACATTGTTTGTATACATGCTGAACTGTATACCTATATTATGTATATGTATATGCTGTACCAAAGTATATGATTATGGCGGGTGATTTTACTGAATGTCCAAATCTATCTAGAAATCTGATTTGGTGTTTGAAAGGGGGTGGTGTATCATCTGATAATATATGTGAAGAAATTATTAGATAACTTGAAATTATTCGAATGTTTTGTGTATATGTGTAATTTAAACAAGTTATTTAAGATGAACGTCGAATTGGTTTAGTATTTTCATGTTTATTTGTCATGTAATTAATTGCAAAGATAAGGATATCTCACATTTTGGCGTCCCTCCAGTGATAATTCGAATATTTGAACTGTATTTACTTTTTAATGTGATAATTTGTTTAGCATTTATTAATTTACTTCAGGATATAATACAGTATACTGAACATTAAAAATTGTTATTGTGAATATCTAGAAATTATGGTAATTAATACAAGATTACTGGCAGTATTTATAATATAAAAGCTTGAAATTAATAAACTAACTATTTTTAATTAACTTAAGTAATGTTTTAGGTGCTTCAACTGCCCGACTCATTAGAGATTTATAGTGACAAGACAACTCATTATTCACAGTAAGCGATATCTGCTTGTGTTTATGATCATATTAATAAAAAAAATATAATATTATCACAAGATCGTAATATTGAATTTCTACACTGATATAATTATTATCATTGCACAGTTGTTAAATGGCTTTTGCTTTTAACCCTTACAAGATAAGTTTTATTCTGTTTTAGTTACAAATCCAATTCCTGCTAGTAACAAACACTATTATTTATTACTAGTCATTTTGTATTGACCAGAAACGACAACTTAAAAAAAATAATGGAGTGTTAATAGTCATGTCTGAAAATAAATATCCACTAAAACCATATATTCTGTAGACGGTAAGTATGATCTTGTAGCGATAAGTAGGGTAGGAACCTGTTTAAAGTCGAGTACAGTACAAGTAAATCTATCGAATATAACAAGATAATCGTGTTTTAGTCGAGAACGGTATTATTTTTAGTCAAATAAAATATTCCGTGTAAAACATGGCTGTATCATCGTCTCACCTACAGGTAAAGGATTACGGATGTGGAAAAAAACTGATTTACATATATTTGGTTTCAGAAACAAAGAAATTCACAAAATTGTATCTAGAAAAACGTGTACACTGTTACTATAAATAGACAAGTGTACAGGGGAAAACTTCATCAAATATTTACTGATCTCGCCTTGAAAATATACACGGATCTTATACAAATACACACGGATCTTGTACACACGGATCTCTTACGCACACACGGATCTGTACATACATACATACTCCACGTATCAAAATTCTAAAAAAACATGTAACTCGTATATTGTATACATACATAGTTTTATGTGTTTCAATTACCAGGTTTATTAAGCACCGTTCACTGGGTCTTAGGTTTTCTTCAATTACCAAGGTCTTTACACAACTTTACACTTGAAAAGAATTCTGTATGGCCAAGGTTACATTATATTGTACAGCGTTTACACATTGGTAAATTGTTTATGAAGATATACTGTATTTAAGTACACGCAAAAGATATGAACATCATTCCCAAGTTATGATTTCGCTGTTAGGAAAAGAAGGGTGGCTTGTGTGTGTGTGTAGAATTTAATTACCATTCGTCGTGTTAACCATTGTTTAGATATCTCAAGGAATATAGATGACGGGACGTTATATTTCATTCGATTATCAAAAATTTTTCTGTTATTATTTTTATATGTATAGATCAATAGGGAGGTTTATAATACGTATTTAAAGGTGGTACAGTTGTGGTCAAGTGCTTAAGATAGAGAATAATAGGCTTAGTACAAATGAATCACTTCAGAGTCTAGATTATCAGAAATGCAGGTTTAGATGCTTGATTTACATATCCATTTGGTATAATTATTTTTTTTTTATTATGTAGTAGGATCACTAGCCAGGACTAACATAGACGTCATTAGTGTATTGAGAGAACTGAGTGTCCTAGCGTGTTGAAATTGCGTTGGGAAATTGATTTGAGATTAGATTAGAAAAGACTGGTATTTCAATGCACTGTATATTTTTTGTACTTTTAGTAACTTTTGGTATATTTTATACTTTTAATTCCCCTTTTATATAGATTAAATATAACAAAATTCGTTATGATAACATTCAACAATTTAATTTATTTGTTTTTCGTTGAGGAAGATATTTTGGAGTTAAACATACAGTATAGATTACCAGTACTTTGATCAAGAACGAACTGAGATTTTCCCCAGATGATTTCAACAACAATTCCTCTTCAAATTATATATACTGTGCCTTTGAATACGATTGATCATTTGACAATAAAACAGACCATGGATATTCACTTAACGCTTGTGTTTGTTATTAACTTGATTTTTATAAAATAATCGATTTTCAGTGAATAAATCAAAACTGAGAAATAAAGAGCAATAATATAATGTCACTGGTATTATTATTATTATTATTATTATTATATATTTTTGTAGGTTTTATTGATATTTTTTTACTATTCCAGAGGTTTAATTTTGGGATTATTTTATTTACCGACATGATAACAATTTGTCGTTACTTAATAAAATACTGTATTTGGTAGGATTTAGTATGCAATACTAGATGGTTTCGCTGTATTATCATTAAAAGTTTAAATTACATGGCGATAATGTAATACCAGTTCTGTAACGCAAGGTTGAAGATTACAGCTGTATTTAGTATGTCTTCGCTAGTTGACACAGTAATCAATCTTGGAATGTAACGTGAACCTGATACACACACAAACACTCATACATTCAAGATAATGAAATATGATCGCTTTTGTGAATATCATCATCGTTATTTGTTTATCTTTTGTTATCGAATAAACACTTAATGGAATGAGACTCAAGTAATTTATCTGATTCATTAATTTATATCTAATTCGTTGGGGTACACAAGGCTCTCGCACCATCCCGAGGTTAAGTGGGAGAAATGAAGACCGCGTATCATAATTTCTAGACGAGAGATTTGAGGGATCGCTTGAAGAATCTCCTCCCTTGCTTGTGTTACCTAAAGATTGACCACCCTAACACTACTTGGGGGGTGCTAATCTTTAGGTGACAATCTGGGGTGGAGATTCTTCAGGGAATGTGATTTGAGTGGATGTTTGTACTTCACATAA